TATATATATATATGTGTGTGTGTGTGTGTATATATATATATGTGTGTTTGTGTGTGTGTTTATCTATCTATCTATCTAGATAGATAAATAGATAGATAGATAGATAGATAGATAGATAGATAGACATAATACATATATTATTGCTAGTGTTAGACATATCATGCCTGACATTGTCTCACACAAGCAAAACAGCCAAAGAGGAGCTAATAGAGCAATCTTATAGAGAGCTTATAGAGAAATCTGAGCCAGACAGGAAACAGAAAATACTAAAATGTTAATTTGTGCTGCTCTAAAGATATAATCATGTAACTACTTCATAATCCAATCATGTCCAACCTCATTTCATTCATAACTATTTGTTCTCCCACAGTGTGTTAAAATGTGAAGTGGCAGCCCATGGAAACTTGACACTGCCCTCTACTGCAAACTTTACTACCAGTAAGGTATCTAAATAAATACAGTGCATTGAAAGCACAACAAAAAGAAAGCTTCCCAAGTCATGGTCACACATTATTATTTATTGCAATATTAAGAATCAAATCACATAGTAACGTGGTTGAAAGCTTTTATCAATATTAGAACTTGTCCTGTTAGGCCATTTAATGTGCTTTTTTTAGCTTGGAATGTGTAATATAATTTCAGCTTTATCTTTAATAGCATTCAAGATATTTTTAAAGGGGTCATATGATGCGATTTCATGTTTTCCTTTCTCTTTGGAGTGTTACAAGCTGATTGTGCATAGATAAGATGCTAGATGCTAATGGAACCTGCTTCGGGAGAATAAAATGATCTAAATATTTCAAATAATTTCCTCAGAAATTGGAAGATGGTGTTGACATATCATAGCTGTGACACAGGAAATATTAACATTAGGATTTAAAATATTCTAAAACTAAAACTTAGCAGAGCCTGTCTGACACTGATGTACTCTGCAGAGGTGAACTGTGGCAAGGGGGTCCTTTAGAGTGACAGCTGCCCCTGATATTATTACATTTTACATTTACAGTTTATTACATTCAATGTCTGACGGTGTTGACAAAAAGTGGGGACGCAACTTTAAAATCTTATGAAACATGCATGTGTCATTAAAAAAAACAATGTTGCTTTGATAGGAGATATTATTAAGTGTTGCTTTTGATAAAACAAGATCTTTTTCATCATTACATTTTTTTTAATCCATTTTATTGCATATGAATGATTGAACCCTTCTCTGTGGACACACTGTTTTAGATGTAGTGAGAGGACATTAAGAAACACAGATTTGGTATAATAATGAGAAAATTAAATTGAAGGTGATAATTGTGTTAAATACATTCTATTATTAATCCCTCATGACATTTAACATTTTGTTTTTTTTAAGCTAATAGCAGTTACCCTTGCTGGACCTGTTTTGTCCCACGTCTCAAGAATGACTGAACTATTAAATATATATTAAGCATAACAGTGTCTATGAGTATTCCATTCTTTCGATATTTCTTAATTCATCTTTCACAGTTTTCACCTAGCTACTTTGATATTTCTATTGACATTCACTTCCAAATGTAGATTCTGTTTTTCTATCTCTCTCATGACCAGTGTTGCCAACTTAGCAATTTTGTTGCTAAATTTAGCAACTTTTCAGACTACCCTAGCAACTTTTTCTTCCAAAAGCACCTAGCAACAAATTTAGCTATTTTTAAATTTGTATTTGGCTACTTTGAGCAACTTTTGATAAGTGACTCAAACGATAAAAAGGCACACATTTTCCATCTAAATTTCACAAAAAGAGGAAACCAAAGATGCCTAGAAGTATATACATCACATGAATTAAGTTATTGCTATTTGCAGTTGTTCAATTTGATAATAACAATAATAATTGAATAATTGTTCATTTATGATACACCTTGTTAGTAGCTTGTACATGTGATTGTTGATCAGTTAGTACACTGTAAGAAAAATATCAAGAAAAATGGCGAAGGTACTAATAATTTTCCAGGACATTATCCGTTATCCATTATCCGTTGTAACCCTGTAACCCGAAAACACAAAATACAATGCGTAATTTAAAATGCAGGTAAAAACCTGTGATTTATTTTCTTTGAGTGTAGCATACTGACTACTAACACACTGCTTAAAACTATAATTGTTCAGAATGTGTAGTTTTACTAGTTTACTAGCTAATAAAAAAACTTGTAATCGTTCAAAAATTAAATCGTTCAAAAGTGTTCAATGTTGTATATAAAAATAGTTATTTATATTTTAACATTATATTATGCATTTATATTATTTTACGAGCAAATCTAAATAACATATAAAATATATTTTTGCTGAGATTTGATGTAGTGACACAATTTTGCGTCGTGATTGCGTAATGACGTCATCGCGCAATGACATCACAACGTCATTTAGCAACTTTTAGCAACCTTCCTTTAGCAGCTTCCCCTGAAAATGAGTTGGCAACACTGCTCATGACTCTATTCACTCTATTCGAATGGAATTTCATTTACAAATAGTTCGTAGGTTTGAGTCCCTCTTCTTTTTCATATTAAAGGGGTCATATGATGCTGCTAAAAAGAACATTATTTTGTGTATTTGGTGTAATGAAATGTGTTTATGCGGTTTAAAGTTTAAAAAACACATTATTTTCCACATACTGTACATTATTGTTTCTCCTCTATGCCCCGACTTTCTGAAATGCATCGATTTTTACAAAGCTCATCGTTCTGAAAAGCGAGGTGTGCTCTGATTGGCCAGCTATCCAGTGTGTTGTGATTGGCTGAATACCTCAAGCGTGTGACGGAAATGTTACGCCCCTTACCATACTGTGATGCCGTGTCCCGGCCGGAGCGACGAGACAAAAACATTAAAAACCATTATAAACGAGGCATTTGTTGCATCCAGTGGGGACATAATTACTGATTATAATGACTTATACTGTCTTTTTACGCGTTGTTGCATCGCGCCGCGTAAACATAAAACCCTGTCTGCATTTGTGATCGGAGAAATGACAAACAACAAGCGCTACTCTACACTGCTCAAAACTCGTGAGCTGAGGCCGGGCTAGAGTGAGCTGAGACGGCGGGGTCGAGAACGGCGCGCCCGGCGGATCCGATGAAGGAGCGGCAACCACATGTGACGACCCCGGGCTTGCAACTTCACATGATTATATTAGTATGGCAAGAGATCGACAATATCATTTTCTAGTTGCTGATATTTAAAATGTATAGTTTTAATGATGTGCACTGATTTTCACTGCATTTAATTGTATATTTAATTGTATTTAAATAAAATGTATATTTAAGTTCTACCTACCAATAATAATTTTACATAAATAATAATGAACTATATCTTTTTATGACTTGTAGACCGTCATCGAATGTCTCAAGTACATCACTTCAGGAGACTTTCCACCAGGAAGTAAAGGAAGCACATTCGTCCATGATCCCAAACTAGGTCTTTGACCGGAGTAATGCAAGTAACTGCAAATCTGCATGTCTTAAAGGGATAGTTCACCCAAAAATGGAAATGTGATGTTTATCTGCTTACCTCCAGGGCATCCGAGATGTAGGTGACTTTGTTTCTTCAGTAGAACACATTTGATGATTTTTAACTTTAACCGTTGCAGTCTATCAGTCGTATAATGCATGGCAATGGTAACAAAATCGATGAGAGTAAAAAAAAAACATGCACAGACAAATCCAAATTAAACCCTGCGGCTCGTGACGACACATTGATGTCCTAAGACACGAAACGATCGGTTTGTGCCAGAAACCGAACAGTATTTATATCATATTTGACCTCTAATACACCACTATGTCCAACTGTCTTTGAGTGCGCGCATGGCATCCGGTGCATGAGGTGTGTATGTGCTCTGGCGTAGTTTACGTTAATGGGTGTGTTGATATCCAGCCGAAGAGCAATCAACCATAACTTCAGGCGAGCAGGCTCAGAAGTTGGGAATATGCGGAAAGTCACCACTCCCGAATGAATTTGCGCGAGAGAACGTAATCTTTTAGTTTTAAGTCGCTTTGAACAATCCGGATAAGCGCAAGTAAGTACCATTTTGATTAGCCGTCGTACCTACAATGACTGCACTGTGTAAACAATGAGTGACGTATACGCACGAGAGATCACGTCCAGAGCGCGTACACACCTCACGCACCGGACGCCGTGCGCGCACTCAAAGACAGTTGGACATAGTGGTGTATTAGAGGTCAAATATGATATAAATACTGTTCGGTTTCTGGCACAAACCGATCGTTTCGTGTCTTAGGACATCAATGTGTCGTCACGAGCCGCAGGGTTTAATTTGGATTTGTCTGTGCATGTTTTTTTTACTCTCATAGATTTTGTTACAATTGCCATGCATTATACGACTGATAGACTGCAACGGTTGGAGTTAAAAGTCATCAAATGTGTTCTACTGAAGAAACAAAGTCACCTACATCTTGGATGCCCTGGGGGTAAGCAGATAAACATCAAAGTTTCATTCTTGGGTGAACTATCCCTTTAAGGCCCTTTCCCACCAAGAATGATAACTATTAGCATCCACACCAATGCACAATATAGATCTGTTTGTTTTAAACAGTCACTTTAAATGCTAGAGCTCTTTAAAGCAGGAAGGGTTCTGGTTGGCTGTCAATGTTTGTATCACTCATCAGCGTTTTAGCTGTGGTGTGTACTCTGCTATTCTTTTAAAGGGGTCATATGATGCGATTTCAAGTTTTCCTTTCTCTTTGGAGTGTTACAAGCTGATTGTGCATAGATAAGATCCCTGAAGTTGCAAAGACTAAAGTCTCAAAACCAAAGAGATGTTCTTTATCAAAGTTAAGACTCTGCCATGCCCCCCTAAAACGGCTCGTTCTAACACCCCCCCCACATATCTACCTCACTATGTGGAAATATTTGCATAATGCCCAAATGTTCACGCAAAGAAAGAAGGCGTGGTTTCAGTAACTGCAGTTAGTGTTGAAGCAGCCATGTCAGTGAGACGCTGTGTGTTTCTAGGCGAAAGCAAAAGCACTTTATTTGGCCTTCCGGAAGTAGATGCATTTAGGAATCTTTAAGATGACTTACAACAGAACAGCAATGCATTTTATGGACGACCGTTTCGTGATCCTAGGAGAGGAGGTAATTCTGACTTTGCTATGACAATCTGGCGCTTCTGAATCAGCTACTGTTTTGTTATTAGCTTAAGTAAGTGTGTGTGTGTGTGTGTGCGTGTGTGCCTGCATGCGTGCGTGCGTGCGTGTGTGTGAGAGAGAGAGAGAGGGAGGGTCACAGTGGAGTCAGCTGTCTTAACCGTGGCTTGTGTACTGCAAACACATATTCATCACTGTGTCTGTCACACGACTCTGTTCCCCTTTCGGGCTCTGTCTTTACATTTATTTTGAAAGATGAAGCTCGCGATTATGGTAAGAGGCGTTACATTTCCGACGAGTGCTTGCGGTGTTCGGCCAATCACAATGCACTGGGTCAGCTGGCCAATCAGAGCAGACTGCGCTTGTCGGAAGGAGGGACTTTGTAGAAAACGAAGCGTTTGAGAGAGGCGGGGCATAGAGGACCTACAATAATGTACAGTATTTGAAAAAGAATGTGTTTTTTGAACATTAAAGCATGTCAACATATTCTGTTACACCAAATACACAAAATAATGATCTTTAAAAAAGCATCATATGACCCCCTTTAATAGAACTATTTTGTATAACTTAGTTATTGTTCTTTGTGTGAACAAAAACGAACAAAAACTACGTGTGTTAATGCTAATGTTGGTCTGTTGTAGGATGCCCATGAGACGGATGTACAGGCACAGATCAGACTCCATTTGAGAGACGTGAATGGCGATCCTGTGGCTGTCCAGAGGTCTATGCAAAGCACGGAGTTCAAAACCCTTGAGGGTGTCATTAAAAGATTCAAGTAGGTTTTACATGTGTCATACTCAACTGTTTAAAAGTTTGTCATCTGTAAGGTTTTTAAAACTATTTTTAAATGGTCTCTTATGTTCACAAGGCTTCACTTATTTGATTACAAATACTGTGATTGAAAAGCTGAATTTGCAGCAGACATTACTTAAGTCTTCAATGTTATGTTTGCCACTCAAGAAACATTTGCTATTTTTATTAATGATGAAAACAGTTGTGCTGCTTAATATTTTAGTGGAAACCGTGATACATTTTTTTCAGGACTCTTTAATGAATACAAAAGAAAAAAAACTGCATTATTGGAATATAAATATTTTGTAACATTAAAAATGTTTTACTTCATTTTGATCAATCAAAAAGTTTAAAAAAAAAATATATATATTTATAAAATTTTTTACTACCAATGTTTTACTCTCACTTGGGCTTTGAAATTTGTACATTATGGTCCCTGTCTGAAGGACCACATTTGCTTGTTTGGCATTAATATGTCTTGAGCTCTCTTGCTGTCAGGCACGAAAAGAAAGTGAGCCTGATCTGTAAATGTGCTGAAATGGACCGTGAGATGATTTCAGCACTGGGCGTCTCCAAGGCTGTTATCAACCATGTCATCTTCTGCCACCAAGAGGAGTCCAACTGGCCTCTCAGTGAAGGAAAGGCCCTGAAGCAGAAGTTTGATGACATTTTCTCAGCCACAAGGTATGTTGATCTGGACAACAGGTTTCTCACTGAAGCTTCTGTCACTCAGTCATATGTGACCCTGGACCACAAAAGCAGTCATAAGGGTCAAATTTTCTGAAATTGAGATTTATACATCATCTGAAAGCGGAATAAATAAGATTTCCATTGATGTATGGTTTGTTAGGATATTTGGCCGAGATACAACTATTTGAAAATCTGTAATCTGAGGGTGCAAAAAATAAAAATATTGAGAAAATCACCTTTAAAGTTGTCCAAATGAAGCAATGCGTATTACTAATCAAAAATTAAGTTTTGATGTATTTATGGTAGGAAATTTACAAAATATCTTCATGGAACATTATCTTTCCTTAATATCCTAATGAAAAAAAAATCTGTAATTTTGATTGCTTATGACTGGTTTTGTGGTCCAGGGTCACATATACAATTCCCCCCCCCCCTAAGGTCTACAATTTGCATCATATTTTAGTTTTTCATTTTACATAATCTCTGCTTACATTCTCTGCTTTCTTATTTTTGTCTTATCAATGTTTTTTTTGTTTGTTTGTTTTTTTGGGGGGAAATTTACTGTATGTGTTCACCAAGCCTTTTAATCTCAAAAGATCTAGGGAAATTGGTGCTTGCTGTAATATCTACACAATATACAGTATGTTTTGTAAATGCTCTTACACCAGTAGGTGGCGCTAAATGAGTGTATATTAATGTGTTATTGGAGAGATAGTAATTCTTTGCTTAGCTACAACTGAAACAGTGGACATTCAGTGGATTCAGTCTTTGATTAATTTGTGAAACCCACTAATTATATCTTTTTAATTATTCATACAAATATATTGTTGAGCAGCCTAACTAAAAAATTGGTGAAACCCCACTAATTATATATTTTTAATTATCCATACAAATAAATTGTTGAGCAGTCTAAATTAAACAAATTATTTGTTAAAACCCTATTAAACTAAATTTGTAGTTATTCAGTTACTTTTCTTTACCTTTTTCGTATGTTGTCTTTTATACATGTTAAGGTAGCATCACAGATAAATGCCTGGAAATAACCAAAAACCTTTGTTTGAAGGTACATTAAGGTATTGAAGACCCTGCGGGCACTGAGGATGAAGCAGGCCAGCATTGTCAAAACCTGCCAGACGGAGCTCAAGTACCTGAAACAGAACAAAGATAAAGCCCAAGAGATTAGAGAGCTGCTCTCCACTAAAGAGGCTCAGCTGGCTTCCTCTAAAGAAAGTGTCCAACGCATCGAAAGTCAGATAGACCCACTGGAGGTGAGATACAAAGAATTTGTGACATCAATTTTTATGCTGACTCAAAAGATTAAATGCCGTGGGATTTTTTTTTTTTAGGTCCATGGCAGTTCATTGTTTTGGAAAATGAATTTTAAAAAAATGTATTTAATGTAGGTGATTGTAATGCAGATTAGGGTACCAGTCACAGCATATACCACAGTTCAATTTCAACCCAAAGGCTTATGCATATTCTCCATACACACTTTCCTCATATTTTCAGAATCGAATGAATGACATAGACAGTAGCCTCAGCAAAGTGATGAAGTTGGATACTGACATCAAAGCTTTGGACAGCAGGAAGAAACAGATGGAGGATGATAACTGGGAACTAGAGGAAAAGATGGAACAGGTAACAAAGGAAAGAAAAAAAAAACATGTCATCAGTTATGAAAGTTTCACTACTATCCGTATTAGTCATAAATGCTAGATAATGATCATCTGAAAGCACAGGAAGTGTTTTGCACAGAAAACATGCACAGGATGTTCAGTAATGGATGTTTTTGGTATACTTATGACATTTTTCATTTTATGGTGAAACAAGGGGTTAGCTTTTGCAAGCTCATCTTTCTATTCAAGTTGTCTCTTTCTCTCCTCAAAGATTTCTTCCTCTGTCTTTAAATTATACTAAAACAGAGACACTTATTTATTACTAGTTAATATTAACAATATATATTGGCAGTCATGGCCTAATGGTTAGAGAGTCAGAATTGTCGCAGGTTCAAGTCTCAGTACCAGCAGGAATTGTAGATGGGGAGAGTGAATGTACAGCGCTCTCTTCTACCTTCAGTACCCACAACTGAGGTGCCCTTTAGCAAGGCACCAAACACCCAATTGCCCCACTACTATTCACTGCTGTGTGTATGCACTCTGTGTATGCATGGGTTAAATGCAGAGCAATTCCGAGTATGGGACACCGTACTTGGCCACACGTTACGTCACTTTAAACTATTATTTATACCTTCTGGTCTGGAGAAATTGTTTGTTGTCTGCATTACAATGAAAACTAATACCATGTTTACTAAAAATATCACCTAAAGGGTGCGTGTATATCCCAAAAACAAGAGGCCTAAGACAAAGCCTTGCGCCACACCATTTGTTCATTCATTGAGGAACCCTGACTCTGTGTTGTGCTGTTTTAGGTGTTCCAGGGCACAGATGATCAGCTGCAGGACATGTATCAGAACCACCAGAGGACTGTGAAGGAGAAGGAACGGAGACTTGCGGAGTACCAGCGTGATCTTGAACGTGCCGGTCGAGAGTGCCAGAGGATGAACCGCATCAAATCTGACCTGCTAGTTGAGCAAGGTAGTCAGATTTCCCTTTATGCATCAGTGATTGATGTATGTATCGGTTCTCTAAATATCCTCAAATGGTTGTTTAGTTGATTCTAATATTTTTTTTAAATCACTAGAAGAAAAATGATGTCCTTTTAGTTTATATCACAGCCTGGCAAAACCATGAAAACCATGGGAGGTTTTTTTGGGAGGTTGTAACCAGTGAATATCTGTTCATTACATCTTTGATTTAATGGCAAAAAAACAAATTTTAACCACATTAAACACAAGCACATGGATGTGGCCAAGTAATTTAGCTCATATTGCCTTTAAGCAGCACATATGAAGTTTATTCTTTCTAAGAGCTGTTCATCATAATTTTTTGTTCGTTTGAAGGCCGTCTGCAGTTGGAGGCAGATAGACACACACAAAACATTAAAAAGAGGGACACCCAGGTCAAGAGTTTAGCATCTTTCCTGGAGTTGGAGGGTTATGACCGGACCCCTCTTAATGAGCGACAGCTCCAGAGCTTCCACAGACAAGTCAAAGAGAGACGTGTTTTTTAATTTATTTAGTGCTTAACAGAAAGTCAATATAGAAAATAATATAATCAGATAGGCACACAACTTTTTATTTATCAGTTATAAGTTCAATATTAGTATTTTAACATGTTGCCATTTTTTTATAATCATTTCTTAATTTGTTTTCAACATGATATGCAGGAGAAAGAGGCACAGAAGCAGCAAACCATCGATGATCTCTGAGATAAAAAGACAGGTCTAGAGAGAACCATTGAGCTGAAGAGAGACATACAGGCCAAGAAACAACAGGAACTGAAAAACATCAAGTCTAACCTCCAAAGACTGGAGGGCTCCTCAAGCAGATTACAGGAGCTAGAAACTGATCTTCAGAAAGCAGTTAGGCCTGTGCTACTGCACTACACCACACATGACTTCCTTTGAGCATGCAGATGTATTTGTATTAATGTTCTGTTGTTTTCCTCAACTGATTCCTTAACTAAATTGGCTAAATTTTAAAATAAATTTGTAAAACGAAAAACAAATATAAATGTCTGACTAATCTGCATCTAACAGAACTAACATCAGTGGCACCTGTATTGCTTTTAAATATATCTCTTAAAGTGTGTGTGTTCATAGGAGCATGAGCTTGATAATGCCGTACAGGCCTGTACGGTGGACAGTCTAAAGGCAGAGGTAGTTGAACTACAGAAGGAGAAAACTGAACTGGATCAGGCCCAGCGCAAGCTAGACCAGGAGATGGAATTGCTCAACACACACACCGCGGCACGCACACAGATGGACATGCTCAAGAAGACCAAGGTGAGCTCACATACCATCACTCTTTTGTCCATTAGTGGCCAGTCCCCACTTTAATGCCAAAAACAAATATAACAAACATAAAATAAATGTCTTTGGGCAATAACACATCTGAACAGCAAGACCTTAACAAAAACCATCCAGGATACAGCAAATAATAGTGCACAATTAAAGTGGCACAACACAACAGAAACAAGCCTATTTATAACTTTAGAATTATTTATTTATAAGTATAAATAGGATCTAACTACTTTTTACAATTATTGCTAAGAAAATACTGCTACTTTTACATAGTGTAAATAGAATCTATCGCTATTTTCACTTAGTGTAAACAGCATATCGCTAAGAAAATACTTGCAAGCTTTATACTAGTGGTAATAAACTAACGAAACCCTAATTTTGAACAATACCGTATCAATACCATACCAGTGTTTTGTGGACTCTTGCACTTGAACTTGCACATATTATTACTGCTGAATTCATTTCACAGTTGTTTCTCGCGACCACATAAACGATGCTTTAAAGTTCAAATTTGGGCTACGTAATAGAGCTAACTGTCTAATAATATTACTCTTTTTAAACAGGTTTTACGGCTTTTAAAATAACACTTTAAATTTGCATAGCTTAATAAGGCAAGGCAAGTTTATTTATATAGCACATTTCATACACAATGGTATACACATTCTTGTGAAGGCCGGTGAGAAGACCATTACAATAGTCCACCCTGCTTATGATCAACCTTGTCAAACGCAGCACTAGTAGTACCAGCACTGATATTTTGCCAGAATCAGAATTTAAGCAAATACAATTACATTGCTGTCTACGGGAGGGTCAGAGAGCTCTCAGAATTCATCAAAATATCTTAATTTGTGTTCCGAAGGTGAACTGAGGTCTTATGTGTTTAGAACGACATGAGGGTGAGTAATTAATGACAGAATTTTCATTTTTGGGTGAACAATCCCTATAATATATGCCACAAAAATCATTAAAGGGGTCATATGATGCGATTTAAATTTGTCCTTTCTCTTTGAAGTGTTACAAGCTCTTGGTTCATAAAGAAGATCTGTAAAGTTGCAAAGACTAAAGTCTCAAATCCAAAGAGATATTCTTTATAAAAGTTAAGAGTCAACCACGTGTTTCCTGGGAGAGTAGCCTACAATGCCGGTTTCTATAAAGTGGGGCAATTCCAACTTTGCAAGGACAGTCTGGTGCTTCTGACTCACAGCCTGTAAGTACGTTTTCATATTTAAAAAATGTCACTGATGATTCAAACGCAAGTTTTGAGCTGTGTAGAGTAGTACTTGTTGTTTGTCGTTTCTCCGATCACAAATGCAGACATGGTTTTATGTTTACACGGCGCGATACGCAACGCATAATAAGACAGTATAAGTCATTATAATCAGTAATTATGTCCCCACTGGATACAACAAATGCCTCGTTTGTAATGGGTTTTATTGGTTTTGTCTCGTCGCACCGGGACACGGCATCACAGTATGGTAAGGGGTGTAACAGTTCCATCACACGCTTGAGGTATTCAGCCAATCACAACGCACTGGATAGCTGGCCAATCAGAGCACACCTCACTTTTCAGACCAATGAGCTTTGTAAAAATCGACTAGAGGAGAAACAATAATGTACATTATGTGGAATATAATGTGTTTTTTTAACCTTAAACCGCATAAACACATTGCATTACACCAAATACACAAAATAATGTTCTTTTTAGCAACGTCATAGGACCCCTTTAATAGTAATAGATGTGTATTACAGGGTTCATACGGTCATGAAAAACCTGGAAAAGTGATGGAATTTTAAGACCGCAATTTCCAAGCCTGGAAAAGGTTTGGAAAAATAAATAAACCCAGGAAGTTTTAGAAAAGTCTTGGAAATGAATTTCACAAATCTCTGTATAATAGAACTAGGCTATGTTTAATCAGGTTCTGAATTTCGGTGCACGATTGCGCATATATTGCATAGTTTGCATTGTTTTACTCATTCCCGCAGCTTTCGAGTTTAAAATGAAGGAAATTCCTGCACAATTTATTCAGTATAGCATGTAGGTTAGAATAGTAAATAAATCCACACAGACCGTCAGATTAAATCAGTCATTTTAAAACAGCGTGAGTGATTAGCTGTACATTCTCTCTTTTACTCTCTCAAAGTGGCTTCACATCGGTGCATTTCATCTGCACTACAAGAGCTGCTGCACACTGTGATACAAGAGAACTCTCACTTGTCTAATTGGGTCATTGTTGCATTGTCACAAACATGTATCATTTGAACATCTTTTTAAAATCTTTTTTTAAGCCATCCACATACTCCAAAGGCATTTTTTTGTGTGTGCTCACAGTCACATGTGTAAAGCTGCTTTGCGAGTACCATATTAAGTTATTTTTCGCAGCTTGTTGCACTTAAGTGGCCAAATACACTCAAAATGACCATACTGGCAAGTAGCTGTTTTTAAATGACCGTTTATTCAATTTTTTTAATATTTTTGTTCCTGAATACTACTGTTAGACTGAAGCGTTTCCAAAACGAAATTAAGGTCATGCGTTAAACTGATAACATTGGTTAATTAAATAAATTACAGTATTCAGTGGTTTGGTGATATGTTCTCTGCGTTGAGTAAAGTCTGGTGCAGTTGTAGCTTGTACTTATTATTATACCAAATAGCAAACAAGTAGCATTAATAGTCATTTAGTTTTAGTTAACATATGCTATGATACATTTTAACAGATTTTTATTCTTATTGTAAAAAAATGTTACATTAGGTCATGAATATTGTCTTAAAAATCATGGAAATATCATGGACATTTATTGGTAAAAATGTGTATGAACCCTGGTATTAGTACGTCTGCACATTGCTTGCAGTATATAACTGTAGCACCTAGATGTCAGTACATGTCTTTATATCAGTGGTGGCCAACGTCGGTCCTGGAGAGCCACAGACTGTGGCTCTCTGGCACCGTTGGCCACCCCTGCATTATATGATTTGCTTGAGGCATCAGATTGTTTATTTTGATATGCGTTATAAATATTATTTAATTGATTTCTTTAAAATCATTATTTTATGCTTTTCTTTAGGCAATCTGTGCAATCTATGAAATATTTCCTTCAGAAAATGTGTTTTTACTAGTATTTATACTACTTTAAAGCAATGTAGTATAAAAGCAAAGAGATTATAGCTATGTTCCGAATGGGATACCTCAATACTACTATTAATTTACTTTACTCAGTATACAGATATTCTGTATACAAGGAATACTTAAATTATCTACTACTATTGTCAAATGTTCAGAATTCAGTCAGAACACACTGTGACAACAGTCTAGCATGCCACTATTTGAAACATTAATTAAAAAATACTAGGCAAATGCTTATATATAGCAGTTTTTATTATCAGTGCTTATGCAAGACATAAATAGTTTATCTCTGCTTTGGATTCCAGATGGAAAAAGAGGAGCAAGTGAGGAAGATCAAGTCGAAACATAATGAAGAGCTGGTGTCTCTGATGGGACACTTCCCAAGCAAGAAAGAGCTAGAAGACTGGATCAACTCCAAATCCAAAGAGATCAACTCCACCAGAGACCGGCTTAACAAAATGAAGTCTGTCACACTTTTTAATGATTCGTTTTTCTACAAACATGTGTATAATAGTAGTTCTTTATTAGAATAAGCTAGAGAATGCCATAGACAATGATTTTTAGTGTGAGGTTGGAATA